ATCCACTTCCCTATCACAATCCATTTCTCTTGAATGGAGAAAAAATTTGCACCCTGTTAGTGCATCCTTCCTTAATAATTCATAGCTTACCACTGACTTTAACCTCAGAGGAGAGAAAATGTCCCATCTACCAAACAGGGGATAGGTGCAGTTTAGAGTGCTAGTGAGGTAAAAGCAGCACCAGAGTTAAGTTAGGAGGAAGGAAACAGCTACTGTTAAGATTTCTAGGGAGCTCTGCCAAACTAAAAAGGCAAATGACACTTGGTCACGCACATAAATACTGAATAGAAAGTTGCACCTATCCAGCTAAGTGCTTTTAAATTTAACAGAGAAAGACACATTTCTTGACTCTGAACTGCATTTGGAAAAAATTTTTGAATAAAAATGGATATTTCTGATTGTTCAGCTGATGATCAGATCTTGCTGAAAATGCTGTCACTGGTCAGACACCAGTTGCACACCAAGTGTCCGACACACAAAGAAATCAGTTGATTACAGTTTTAACATTCAAGTTATTTTCTTAGGGCTCAGTGCTGAAGCCTGACTCAGTCTATATGCAATGAGAACTCCCAGTGAAGCCAAATCTTACTGGTATTCAAGTCACTGGAAGATCTGCCTATATAAGAACTTCAGGCCTGAACCCCTTCATTATTAAATAGTATAACAGTACTAGAACTAGCTACCTATCTCTGACACTATTACTAAGTAGTGAATTCAATGTTAAACAAACAATTTTTAAAAGCAACTAAGTGTCTTAGAAGCTTAAGTCCCATTTTCAAAAGTGAATAGGACCAGATTTTCAAAAATTTTCAAAGTGGTACATCAAAGCAGGCTAGGTGTCTAACTCCCAGGGAAATCAATAGTAGCTGGGAACTTAACCTACTTAGGTGCTTTTGAAATCCAACTAGGAGCCTATCTGCATCTTTAGGTGCCTAAATTCCTTTGAAACTCAATGAGTCTTAGGTTTCTAAGCACCTAAGTCACTTTTGAAAATGGCACTTAGATGCTTTTGAACATTTTATCCATGGTCCCCATTCCAAGGATCTTACAAATAGTGACCGATCTGAACAAAACCCCACATATGAACTTCTAATCCAAACCATAGATTTCAATCAGATCCAATTCCTAGGTCCAGACAAGACTGGACTGATAGCCATATCCAAATCGCCACAAAGTTTGGACTATTAGCATATACTTCATGATTTCAGTCAGTTCTGGTTAGGCCTATCTCTGCTTACAACCCAAGGCCATGATCCTTACACTAGTGCTGAACTTTGTGCACCAAGAGTAGTCCTATTGACTTCAGTGAGTCCAATGGGACTTCTCATGGGCGTAAAGTTAGTCATAAGTGTAAGTCTTTGCAGGACTTGCACCTAAATCAGACACAGACAAAAAACTGAGACACACAAAATGCTACATTTTGGTGAGGTGAGGATCACTTGAAAAATGCCCAGCAATGCAATTTTTAAGTAAATCAGTGTATAAAATGGAATAGTTAATAAATAAACAGAAGTGGGAAAATAGTTATACTGTGCAAACATTGCAATCAGTGACATAAATTCAAACAGAAACTCCTATTAGAGAGCCATGATAATGTAACGATGAATGTATCTAAGGCCCTAATCCTGAGATCACTGCATGCACGTGTACTACTGAAGCCAACAGGGCCCTACACAAGTGCATCATTGTGTCCACACTCAGCAATTGCAGGATGGGGCCAAAAATTATGGTACCTTGAGCCCTACTATCCTTACTTCAGGAAACCTCCCACTGGATTAACTGATGGACTCCAAGTAACTCCACTGAGTGTTTTGCCTTAGTAAGAACTACAGGATTAGACCATTAATGTGTAAACTGTTGCTCTAGAGATTTCCATTTAAACAAACTCTTTGAAATAATTTACTACACTTAAACTGTCAGCAAATATATGCTTTAACTTCTCTATTCCAGTTTCAAAGCAGTGAATAAAAAGACAGTCATTTTAAAATAACTATTTTAACCAAAGCTTAATTTTCCTTTAAATAGTCTCTCAGCAATTGTCTGCAAAATAATTAACTTGTAGATCATTTGCATACAAAATAAGTACTAAGAATACTTTATTCAGACTTTGTAAAGGCTTATTTGTGAAGTATTTGGTTTCACTAAGAATGGTAATGTGAACTCTGCCATTCTTGGAAAGTATCCATGGATAGCATCTGTATTATGGTGAGAGAGAGCTGATATCTACCATTTACAAATTTCTTTGGAATAATAAGTCAAGAAATTTTAATACACTTTTTAAGCACTTTTCCACATATTGGTCCCGATAGCTCTTAACTATTAATAGTTTGTAACACAACATGACTGATGTCATATACAATTGCTTCAGAAGAATTTAATTTAAATAATCACATACAAAAGGTGCCCTCTTCAGCTAAAGAAGTTGAAAGAAATATCATAAAAAAATCAATAGGCAAATATTTTTGTTTACATTTACAATAATAAAACTTCAGACAAGTATTTATTGTTTTTAAAAAAATACATTATAACAGAACAAAATGTATATATGTTGATCATGAAAGACAAAACTACCGTTATTATCTGGACTAGAATGCACATGCATGCTAACAGTTCAAAAATCATTTCAGGGCATTCAGGAAACATGAAACAAGCTACCTGTTTGTGAATGTACTATTTTTCTACTTGGTAAGTATGCCTGAGAAAGTTAACCTGTAAAGAAACAGGCTTTTAAACTCTTAAACACAAAGAGCTTTCTACAGTGAAATGGTGAAGAGACCTGTGATATGCACCTGACGGGCCACTAAGCCATTTCCCACAGAGATTCTGTTCACTGCTCCACCTCAGCTCAGTGATCCAGCAGTGGCACAGAGTTTCACATCAATACCAAATTAATTCAACCAAGGTATTAAAAAAGCATGCTGATATGATGTAAAATCACCAGTTTATATACAGAGGGTATGTGGAAATCAAATAGATTCTCTACCAAAGTTAGTGTATTGTTGTGCAGTATTATGGACAAGTAAAAAGTAATGATAAAGCAGGGATTATATGTCTGGCTCAAGTTAAGACCCTTTAAAAACTACAATTTCAACACAATCATCTAGCATCAAAGAATGAAAAATCAGGACAAATGCAAATAATCATTTTACAGTAGCCACATACTATAGATAAGTAGGAACCAATATGTAGCTTGGGAAAATAGTACCATAATAATTTATTTTCATATACCCAAAGCACAATTTACTAGCAGGCACAAGCAGTCTGACAAGATGTGAAAGGAAGCAGTGAAAACGTCGGGGATTGAATTTCCTTTCATCAGGATTTGTCTGCTACTACTGTATGCAGATGACAAATGGAACTGAGAGAAATTCAAGATATTTAACTCTTATTAGTAATGTAATGCTACTGTAATGGGTTTTAGATTTTTGCCTTTTCTTGTATTAAAAGAAATAAAAACTAATTAATCAAAAGCTATATACTGAGGATTGTTCAGAATCTGAGTGCATGTTTTCTTCATTAAGAACAATGGGCCAGTTCCAGTCGGTACAAATCGATGTAGCTCTGTTGAAGTCAATGGATCTATGCCAATTTATGGAACACAGTGTCTGACACTATGCCTTCAATTTTAGCGGTCTTGTTGAAATCATTACAAGCAACTGCATACTTTGTAAATTACATGGGCTTGAAAAAAAAACAATCATGGGCATAAAAAATTCTAATAGAAACCTTTAATTTTCATAATTTCATAATTTAAGCAGATAATACATGATCATACTACATGAGCTAGATCATATGAAACAAAGTTATCAAACAAAACAAATTTATAAGTCTGAGGAGAAAAAAACCACGACGGTAAAACGATGGAATTTTAACAGCCAATCCTACCCTGCAATGTTGAAACACATTAAAATATACTATTGCACATATGTATACATTTTTCTGAGTGTGATCAGGAAGCAGCTTCCTTCCCCCATTTTGTAGCACTGCACAAATGGCTAGGTGCATTACGGAGGCTTTTTACTGGCCTATGAAGTATAAGGTATTATCCACTGCTGGAGACAGGTCATCAGACTTGATGGACTAGTTAACTGATCCAGTATGGTAAATCCTATTTTATTCTTTCACCAGTACTGAGCATGGCATCAAGAGCACTCTATGCTGCTCTGACACCAGACACGCGGTTAAGTTATACCTTTCAATCAGTACTTCATTCTTCAGTCTACTTGTAGCATGTGCAGAGAGGAAAGCAGAACACCAATTATAAGGAGTACCATAAGGGCCCCCTGATCCAGCAATGCCTTTAACAAGTGCTTAACTTTATGTTTGTGAGTAGTCCCACTGATATCAATGGCATTATTCACATGCTTAACATTAAGCACGAGCTTAAGTGCTTTGCTGGACCAGGTCCTAAGAGAGGATCCAGTATCAGAACAGAAGGAGCGCACTGAGAGTAGGAGACCCAGAAAGCAGTGCAAGGGAAGTGGAAAGCATCTTTTAAGTTTATAATTGTTTAAGGAGGACAAATGGGGAGAAAGATGGGCTAAGGTTATATCTATACTGCAATCACGGGGTGTGACTGCAGCTCAAGCAGACATTCCAAAGCTAGCTAGCTAGCTTGGCTCCTGGAAAAGTGAAGCTCTGGCAGCACTGTACAAGCCCACCCGGAACCCTGGGTAATTACTCACACAGCTGCCCTGCACTGAAACACATGCTGCCACAGCGTCACTGCTCCAGTATGTGAGCTAGCTAGATTAAAGCTAGCTTGGGGTAGGTCTCCTTGAGCTGCAATCACACCCCATACTTGTACTACAGACATACACAATATACATTCTCCTCCTCTGTGTAAGGGGGAATCTCCTGGATCCAGAAACTTTCTTAGAGCCCCTGCTAATTTTACAAGATAGGTGGCATGCGTGGTCATACTCTAGAGGGCAAGAGGGAAATCCTAGATGGCAATGCTATGATTCTGGCTGAAGAGCTTCATTTTCCTCCTCCCATACCTGAAAGCCTTGAATCCTTGCCAAATACTCCAGCTGTTTTGAAGGCTGCACTGCAGAACAGGGGGAAGCAGGAGATATTCCTTTTAGACCTATGGCTTCAGCAGTCGGGGATGTTCCATTCATGAGGAGTTCCCTGGCAATTGTAGCTGTACTATTAGTAGTAGCAGATATGCTGAAGAAAGAGCTAGAAGTCTGGCTCATTTCTTTGGATGACAAATAGCTTCCAGTAGTGCCAGGGGCTGCTTTGTTGCGGCTTGCTTCCATCTCTTGATAAACATCAGGTGAGAGATGGAGAATTCCCTTTGGTGCTGAAAATGAAAGCAAAGACCATTCTCATTACACTTGCAGTGAGTTAAAGATGGACAACTATACCATTGTCAGTTTAGATGCTTCCCACCTGAAAACAAACTGTATACTTATAGGTCTTTTTCAGTATAACTGCGAGTAAGAATGCATAATCTACCTGATTATAACCAAAACTGGTTTTAAATGGACATTAAGGGGAAGGATTTTTTATTTTTTTTTAAAGATCCTAAATGTGGCCTCTAAAACTGTGCTTGAAATTTGGCATTCACAGACCATTTGGCATGCACAAATGAGGTACTTAGATGTCAGAACTAACAAGACATAGCCACACCCCAAAATATGATAAACTTTATTTTGTTGTAATCCTCTTCCTTCCCACATCCCTACACCATTGTCTGTTGTCATCATTTGCTGTGCTAACATGCCTTATTTAGGCCGCATACCCTTCAGTGAAGGAAACAGTCTTCTTTTTTAAGCATTATGGATATCTGTGACACAGTATATATTGTAAATAATATCTTTTTGACTTGTACTTGAGAAGGTGTATTCTTTGCTCAGTGTGAACACCATTTACATCACAGGAATTATGCTATGTATTAGAGACCCAAAGAATTTATTCACGTGCAGTTATGGAAATATCTCTAATATTAGACATACAATTAAGGATAATTGCTCTTGGTAACTATATTTCAGTATTTTAAATAATATTTTTAGACAATGAAGTCCCAATCCTGCATACACATGTGCACCTGAATAACTTTACACACTTGAGGAAATCAACTGAGATTCTCATGTGTGCAAGAGTGTTCCAGATCAGGGCTTATTTAAGCCATCTTACTATACAGTCAAGCTATGTTTTGAAAAATAAATGATATCCATTTTGAAGATAGTTTAAAAAATAATAATGAACATGAAAATATTTTATTAAATTACAACAAGCATATTGGAGCCTTCTATTGGTAGCAGTCAGACTGCCTAAAATATGACATTTGTGACAGCTGGCAGTATGGGAGTCCATTTTACAATAGCAAACCAGTTCGGCAACTAGTTTAGCTGTGAGAAAAAAAATGCTATGGTTCAATGTTTATAGATTATTTTTCATTTGCAATGCATATGAAAGTCATTTTAAGACTGCAGAACAGTCTTAAAGAAGAATCGAAACTGGATTTCTAGTTTCTTATAATGGGTTTTCCTAATCTCAGTGGCACAAATGCTACCTTTTAAATAAGATGTCTGCTGCCTGAAGTAGATTCGGAAATACCAGCTATAATTAAAATCCTGAAATTCAAATACATGGTGAACATGCTTCCTTGTTGAACTTTCAGACTGCTGTCTGAGCAAATTGGTTATAGGTGTGTTTTGTAATTGCTTTACTCAATTTGGCTTTTAACTCATTATAAGCTTCATACGGTTAGACCACAATCCAATATTGCTGATTACAGGCATGAAAAGCTTTCATGAAGTATTTCGTTATATTGTTAAAACGTGAATAATTTCGTGACTGCAGTGATTAATTTCACAAGAGGAGACATAACGTGTGGTTCAACTCTCTGACCTTGCAAACCATATTCACACAAGTATAGAGACTCACACAAGCCCCACTAACAGAACTACTTGCATGAGTAAAATTAGGACTGGACCCCAAATTCTGGCTTCCCCCCACTGAGCCACTACAAGAGCAGGTGCAGAGCCACCGCAAGCTACAATTCCTCAAACCTGACTGCCTGGGCAGGGCAAACACAGACAAGAAAGTTCAAGTGGCCTGCTGACACGGAACCCTACAGTGCTCCGTAAAGTTGCTTCAGATCAGAGCAATTCAGGCTCTAATAAGTGCACAGTGAGAGGGGGTACATGAATGGAAAGAGCAAGACACATTCCTTACCCAGCTGATTACTATGTCCTGTCTCCTTGCCTAAAGCTTAGAGAGCCCTATGGCTCCAGTCCTCCAACTGACTTTGCATGGACAGATCTCCAGGGAAGTCAGTGGGGCTCTGCCCAGGTACAGCGGTTCACCTGCATGAACCTCTTGCAGGACCGGAGGCCCAGATCAATATGTTGCATGGCTTCTGAATGGCTGTACTGTGGAAGTGTTAGAGAGGGGCAGGAAGAGGCTCCATGCACCATCTTCCCCCCCGGACAGATCCGTGCAGGACAATATAGAATACAGCCCTATAAGGATAAAACACCATATGCATATGTATAAAGCAGTATTATGTACAGTATTTTAATAATATACCCTTCATCTGAGACTCCACCACCTTCAGATAAATCTAATCTCACCTCACATTTTTTAAATTGCTTTGTAAAATGGATACAGGGTTTAAATGATTTAAACAGACATAGCGCATCCCCCGGTTACTGTCAGGTAAAACTGGGCTACATAAACCAAGAAACAATCATTACAAAATAGAGCGGCAAGTACCCAGCACCTCCTAAATCTGACCCACTGTAAATCCAATTTCACTAAATGCATTTGAGAAATAAAGGTGATTAATTCAATAATATAAGTGAAAGAACACACTGGTGCAGAAATATTATTATGAAAAAGAATCTATTTTGGAAAAAAGCAACACAATGCTAACTTTTTTACAAAATATTTTAAACCAAATTAACTACTGCAGATGTCTATTCCATTGATGTAATATTCCTTAAAACAAACATTTCACATGCTTTCTCAGCCTTTTCAATGTTTTTACATGATCCACCCAAATATCTAACTGCTGTCTGGAACAATAGTTTGGAATTTTTCCAGACTACCAAACTTTCTAAATGTTAAAATAACTAATATATGGCATATGATGAATAAAAAGATATTCAGCATGATATATCAAATGTTCTTATAAACCACCTACATTGTTATAAAGGAGATTGTAAATTAATAATAGTAATAGTACTTTGCCTTTATATAACACCTTCCAGCTGAGGATCTCAAAGTGCTTTACAAGTAACAATTAACTAAGTCATATGAAACACTTAAGAGGTAGACATTATTGCCATCACTGACTATTTTTAAAAACCAAGTGATGTAGTATTTTGGACATTATATTAATACACTTGCAAACTGTTAGGATTTTAACTAGAATTTAAGTTTAATGAGGCTAATTAAAACTTGCTTTAAACAGCTGCTGCTGAAGTATAGAAAAACTTTTAAAAATTGCTTTTGGAATATTTGTGCTAAGAAATATATTTTCTTAAGTTTTATTGCTTATTTTTAAAACAATACTAAGGATCCTTCTATGAAATTCTTCTGTGCCTGCTGCTTATTCCTAATCTAAATGTATAACCTTCTGTTTGACTATTACAGTTTAGCTGCTGTGGAAATTATGGTATTACAGGATGATAATTATGATATCAAGTGAGAAATGAACTATAGAAGTATAAGAACTCTTAGAAACAAATACCAGAAACTGCTTTCATACATATACTTTTGTTAATAAAATTTGGGAGACTAGAAATACAAACAAATGAGATATCTATTGACTTATCTCTAGACAAGAGTTGTCCACACAGCGTGAGTGGATCTCTAAGTGAGCAAAGTTCTTATAAGCTTATTATTCCTCTGCAAAATCTAGATTTTTATGTGAATATCAGGAAAAAATCATATGCTAAATTCAATACAAATCTCATATTACAGAATCATATGTAACTGCAAATCATAAAGGTTATAGCAAAGATGCAGAGTAATATATGACAATTATCAGGAGTCTCAGGAACTATATTTCACCATATATATCAACAATGGTACACCTTCTGCTGCATATAACCTGGAGGTGCATTCATGAAAGACCTATAAATAATTTCCATGCACAAGCATATTATTTACACCCGTGGGCAATCATGTAAGGAAAATATGCAGACTAGCTATGCAGTATAATCACTAACACTTGAAAAACAATTCTAATCCATTCTTTAATGGTAATTGTTAGCAGTCGCTTAAAATTTTAATCTCTAAAAAGACTTCCAACCCTACAATCAAATACAGGTGTGTATGATCTTTTGTCTACATCTGCCAATCAGATACTCGAAAACTGCAAAGTGGTATGGAGGCATACTATATAAATGGCTAGATTAAGACAATGTAGGGACCTGGGTAACATCTCTACCTGGGTAGTCCCCGTAGTCTTACCTCTGTGCTGTGGTCCCATCCCTGCCTGGACTAGCAGTGGCAGAGCCACCAGTGCAAGCAGCATCTTTGCTCTTACCCACCATTCCTCTTTGGACAGGCTGGGGACTCCCTCCTCCCTGGCCCATCACACTGTGTCGGATTCCCTTCCAGAGGAAAACTCAGCCCTCACCCATCAGAGCAAAGGATTCTATGTGAGAGGGCATTTGCCAACATCACCCCCAGCAGAGCCATGATGACAACAAGCCCCCCCACAGACACAGCCTCTGCTGCAGAGGTACTGATGGCCCCATGGCAGCAGGTTCCTCAGCAAACTATCCAATAAAGTGAATGGGGCACTTAACCATCTTAAAGCCATCACAGGGCTGTCTGCAGATTTAGGACAGTATCTCTTCATCAGTTACACTGGGTCATGCTTTCAAGCTTTTCTTCACAACCACGAGGTCTAGGAACATATTATTTTTGAACATGAAAGCTGAGATCCTGATGTTGTAATAAAGAACAGGAGTACTTGTGGCACTTTGGAGACTAACAAATTTATTTGAGCATAAGCTTTCGTGGGCTACAGCTCACTTCATCGGATGCATAGAATGGAACATATAGTAAAAAGATAGATATATACATACAGAGAACATGAAAAGGTGGCGTAAGAGGCTAATTCATAGAATCATAGAATATAAGGGTTGGAAGGGACCCCAGAAGGTCATCTAGTCCAACCCCCTGCTCGAAGCAGGACCAATTCCCAGTTAAATCATCCCAGCCAGGGCTTTGTCAAGCCTGACCTTAAAAACCTCTAAGGAAGGAGATTCTACCACCTCCCTAGGTAACGCATTCCAGTGTTTCACCACCCTCTTAGTGAAAAAGTTTTTCCTAATATCC